TTTTGCCTTTTCCACGTCCCTCCCAAACCCACCGCCGATCCTTCGTTCGCCTCCCTCCGTCCTCCCTCCGTCCTCCCTCCGTCCTCCGTCCTCCGTCCTCCCTCCCTCCTCCCCTCCGTCCCTCCGTCCCTCCGTCCTCCCTCCCTCCTCCCTCCGTCCCTCCCTCCCTCCTGCCTCTGTCCTTCCTCCTCCCTCCGTCCTTCCTCGCCCTTTCTCTCCTCCCTCGTTCCCTCTCCCGCCCTCCCTTGCCCCTCTATCATCGCCCCTCAACTCTCCTCCCTCCTCCTTCTCCCTTCCGTTCTCCCTGGTACCAGCTTCTTCCCTCCCTTTCCTGCCTTCCATGAATGGTCCGGACGTGGGAGGCGCACACAGCTGCTGTCATCGCCCTCCAGCGAGCGAGCGAGCATGCGAACCTTCTTGCGAGCGGGTCCAAGGACCATGCATGCAAGATCTGGGACATTGAAGCAAGCACGGCCATCAACACCATCCGAGGACACCAAGGAAGCTTGCTTGCTTGTTTGCTGCTCGCTGGGCCCTGACGGGAGGAGGCAGGGGCTGTGCGATCCATCTCCTTCTCCTCCGATGACAAGCTGGTGTTCACAGCGGGCGACTCGACGATCAGGATATGGGACAGGTGCCATGCTGCCTGCTGCGCTGCTGCGGGATAACGCGAGAGCAGGGGAAGCAACAAGCAGGTAGGATGTTTGCTGCCGCATCAGGGGCATGTCACGAGCGTTCAAGTCAGAGATAAGGCAAGCACACGCTGATCTCAGGGTATGAAGCTGACTTCTGTGGTGCAGTACATCGGGAGCACCAAGTACGGCATGCATGTACTCACTTCGTCTCTTGACTGCTCAAGCAAAGTATGGGAGAGGAAGGAGGAAGGGGGGGAAGAGAGGACAGGAGAGGACAGGAGAGGACAGGAGAGGACAGGCGAGGACAGGCGAGGAGAGGACAGGAGAGGACATCACGGCACAGGGTGGGCGGGGCAGGACAGGACAGGAGTGCAATACATGGAGACACGGTGATGAGCCTTGCAGGTATGGGATCTTCGCTCGCGAGTTCCCATCCGAGCATGTCTTGGACACGCAGCTGGCGTTACCTCCTCCTGCTTCTCGCCTGATGTACGACATGGTAGCAGCGCCTCTTCCACTCTTCATTTCCAGTTACTTCCCCTCTCTCGCTCCCTCCCTCCCTTACTTCCTCTCTCCCTCTCCCTGTCCCTCCCTCTCTTCATCTCCAACTCATCTCTATCTCTCCATTATTCCTCTCCTCCTTCCTCTCTCTTCCCCTCCGTTTCTCCAACTCCTCACCTCCTTCTCTCTTCCTCCCTTTCCCTCGAGGCTGATGCATCCTGCAGTGGCTTCAGTCAGTCTGGACTCCACGTGCATGTGACCGACAGCCAACGCTCTCCTCCTCCTCTCGTTGAGTCCTGACAGGATGTTCGACGTGGCGCATGCTGGGGAGAACGAGCCGCCCTTCACGTACGAGCTGCCATGCGGGGTATCGCCAGTGAGGAGCAGCAGCAAGGCTCTGACGGCCAGGTGTAGGTGGCGAAGCATCTGCGATCCCTGAAGCTCTCTCGCTCTCCTCTGAATCGCTGTGGCATTAGCAAGGTCTCGTCCTCGAGCCCTCGCATACTCATGGGTGACTGAGAGGGGCTCGCTCTAGTGCGGTCAGATCCTCGCAACGGCAAGTCAAGGAGGAGTCGTCGGTCTCACCAAGGTTCTCACCTCCCTCTCTGCATCCAACTTGACATGCCTGCCGCCCAGCTCGGCCCCGACCTGACGACGCACTTCCCTGCGCATGACGATCAGGTAGCGATCGTGTCCAGCCCGTCGAGCTTCCTCAGAGCTTACCCAGCAAGTGCGTGACCTCTGCTGGAGTGACGATGGCAAGGAGCTCGTGAGCTGCGGGGGAACGAAAGTGAGAGGACCTTTCGCCTGCTCCCCCTCCTTTGACAACACCCGTTTTCTTCCTCTTTCTCCTATGACTACACCAGTTCTCCTCCCCCCCCCCCCGCCCCTCCGTCAGTCTGGAACGCTTCTCCTCGCTCCTCCAATCTTTCTGATTCTCATGAGCTGCTGCCCAGCTGCTCCTCTGGGACCTGCGCGACCTCGTGGATGCCCAGAGCTCAGAAGCCTCGTCCCCAGGAGCACAGACGTACCTCCTCCTCCCTCCTGTCATGTCTGCTGTGACTTTCGTCCTCGGCCTCCAGGGACCAAACAGTGCAGGATCTCCTGGGCAAGACGAAGCCGTTCGGAGGAGGAGGTCAGTGGCGGGTGGGAGAGCCTCCGAGGGAGCGGCTGAAGTGCTGCTGGACAAGGAATTTCTTCGAAGCGAGGGGGGAACAGTGGAGATCTGCTGTACTGCTGCGAGATCATCGGGCAGAGCCTTCTTGGAGGAAGCGAAGACGGTCTGCTCCTGGCCCTCCTCAGATGCGCACAACTCATCTCACCGCAGGGTCCATTATGCTGTGGCACAGGGGGGAGAGCGTAAATGACCTTGATCCTTGAACTACAGGCTCAGTGCTAACAAAACTGCTGGCGTCAGGCCGTGCTAGACTGACCGTCCTCGTACTGATTTTCAACTTAACTTTGAGTAAACAAGACCGGCTTTATCACTGAGCGGCGGGCCCAACCGAGGCTCCCGGGCCTCCTGGCCGGCCCGGGGGGCCGGGACTGCCCCGGGGACGGACTAGACTCGGGGGTTGGAACTTGAACAGAAAAAAAGCTATACTCTCCTTGACTGGGATGAAGAACGTGTGCAAGAGACTTGGTGTGCATTGGCCGACCCAACGAGAGCAGCACGAGCTGGAGGAGGAGCGCAAGGCTGGAAGTCTAGAGCAGATTCTGCTTGCTGGGCACGCCAGGGAGGCAGGAGTCACGGATCATACGGAACATGCCATGCAAGAGGAGAGCGACGTAGAAGTGATCCATGACTACGAGTTTGATGCAGGAGCTTCAGGCATGGAGATACCTTCAAGCTAGGTGTTGACGCACCAACCTCCGACGCTGGCAGCGCGTGGAGATCATACGATGGTGGACGGGGGGAGTTTGACGGGAAGAGGTTTGGTTACAGCTGCCAATCAGGGGGGAAGCATGGCGAGAGGGCTCATGCAATATGAAAGGGATGGTTGGGCCGAGTCAGGGGGGTCAGGGTCAGGACATTCACGTTGGGAAGACCGAGGGAGAGGAGCTGGAATAGAAATAGACAGGAGATCGTACTTCGGGGGAGGGCTTAACTTGACACGTCGTACGGAGAGAGGTGGAGCAGGAGGGGAAAGTGGCTGGGGAGGGATGGGCGACAGGTCCACATGGTCTGGTCCAGGGCATCTGTTGGGCTCCAAGGCAACGGAAGGGGAGATGATAATGCAGCATGCAGCTGCAAGGTGAAGGGAGGAAACGGAGGAGTCAGAAGTCACCAGGAAGTTTGGTCTTCGGCTGCAGATCTCTAGAGACGGAGAGCTGAGCCTCACTGAGTCATGCAGGAAGCTCTTCTTCATGTTGAATCGACGCGGCGATGATTATGCGAACAAACTAGTCATCATTGAACCTCAGCACGGTAGGCTCGTCATGATCGTCGACTATCCTATCAGTGGTTATAAATTTCACTGATAACTGAAACTACATGCTCGCCTCATCACACTAACGGTCCCAGCTGGTCGGCGGGAGGCTCCGACTCACGGTGCCTGCCGCTCAGTGCTGCCGACCGGGCCAGCGGGCCGGCTGCCCGCCGGGAGTCCGCGCGGCTGCACGCCGCTCCGACCCTGCTGCGACCCAGGCTCCGACAATAGGCCTCCGACCCAGCTAGCAGCACGTGCAGCCACCGAGCCCCACTGCTAGCCTAGCCTCTAGTCAAGTCACTACTGGCCGGGCTGCTGCCCGGCCCCGGCCCGTCACGTGGCCGCCCGACCCGACCATCAGTGGGGGGATGAGGGCTACCATTTTCGCGAGACGCATCTGGCATGTCGCGAGTGCCGTGAGAAAGACGTAAGAAGATGCCGAGATGAGAAGATGAAGGGCGAGGAGATGAGAAGATGAGATGAGAACACTACAACAAGAGATCAAGATGAAGAGCAGAACAAGGGGAGGAGCACAACAAGAGCACAAAGGGAACTGAAGCGAATAGGGGGAAGAAATTGGAACTGAAATGGCATAGAAGACACTGAATTCAAGAAAACTCAAGGGCCAGGTTGTGGCTGATATCTAGCTGCCTCAAGTGCTCTGGGGTCGATCATGAAGCTTTGGTCGACTTCTCTCTTCATATCAATCCTATCATGGACACTATCAGATGCACTCTACTCCCATCAGGAGCTCGCTTCGATCCCCACCACCCGTCCTCTGATCTCATCCTTGTCGGTGCCGAGCTGTTGTCATGATGCCCTTGTGGTCCTTCGGCAATGTTCTCCTCTGCGCCTTGCCGGAGGGAAAGAGAAGAAGGTTAGAAATCCTCAATGAACTTTGCTGGTGAAGTAGCCCTGACGGAAGTTACAGTTGAGCAAGCTCACAAAGCGGCGCATGAAGATGGTGATGTTTCTGTTTGGGGGGTCAAGTTTTTCATCTGATATGGCTGCAGGAATCAAGAAGAGCGGCTAAACGAGAGCGAAGGGAAGCGAAGGGCGCTTCGAGCTCGGAATGGGACTCGGGTTCGGATGAAGGTTGGCAGGAGGGGTCGGTGGAGGCGTCATCAGGTAGCTGTCTGCGCTAGCATGCGGTCGGCCCTGCTTCTTACCTTGAGTGCTGCAGAGGGGTCTGATCCACGGATCGGGAATGGAGAACAGGAGGAGCCAGAGCCGGAAGAAGAGAGAAAGCAACGAAGAGATGTTGGAGACAACAAGAGAAAGGGTGTGAAAGCTTTCTCTCCTCATGTCGCTGGTACTGTTTCTTCCTGCCAGGAAACTTGGTGAGATGTTGGCGATCAGGGAAGAAGCCAAGTGAAGAAACGTTTGACTGGCGAGTCTACCAATGGGAGGACGACAAGGCCACAACTCGACTGGATCATGTGATGCAGCTGAAATCTCTGATGATCGTCAATCCCTCATATCATCTGCTTTCTGCATCTGTGGAGTCGAAAGCGTCTGACGACGTACGCAGCTCCGAACGAAACAAGAAATCCTGATGGATCGCAGCGCGATGGTGAGTTTTTGTTGCAAACAAGTTGCTTTGTGGGTTTGATGACAATCAAGGGCTGGAAATTCGCCGCCGAAAACATGGAAGATCGGAGGAAGGAGAAGCAGAAGAAGAAAGGCGACAAGAGTCAAGCAAAAGACCATGCCGATGACGGTTGTGTCTGACCACCACGAGCTTGTAAGTGATACGAGTTGCAGGAGAGCAAGGGGAAGAGGAGGGGGAAGAGGGGGAGGACCAGGTTGAAAGGGCCTCGGAGGTCCTAAAGAAGCACAAAAGGCTCACGAAGAGGAAGAGGAAGGAGCTAGAAAAGCTTGAAGAGCTGAAGAAGTGAGACCATCCTATCACATCTGATTCTCCATCTCATCAAGGCCACAGGGCAAACCAGATGCAAAAGGGGATCCGGCCCTCGGACATGTATCCATGTAGTGCAGTGATGACGTCACGCCATTCTCTAACTTGCAAGCAGCTTCAGAGAGCCATGGTAGGGTTGGAACACAGAAGAGAGAAGACAACCTCTTCCATATCCCCGCGAAAGGCCAAATGGTAGGAGAGTGTACAATGCTGATTGCGGTGATGGATCGGTTGATGGATATCAGGAAGTAGAAGATCGGGAACAGATCGTCAAACATATTGCGGTCCTAGATTTCATTCTATAAGGTTTTCTCTCTGCTAAACGATTTGGTATAGAAGGATGAAGCTGAACGAAAGAAGCAACGAACGCTCAAGCTAAGAAAGCGAGCTTGTGCGTGAATTTCAATCTTTTGATCGAGCACCCCTTTCTATCCCCTGCTTCCACTTCCTCCTTTCCTCTTCCGCTTCATCGTTTTCGTCCCTTCAACCCCTTGTTCCTTCTCATGAAACTTCTGTCTTGGTTCTCTCTCACTGACCTTCTTCCTCTTCTTCCCTTGCAGTGGAAAGAATTCTCATGGAAGAGAAAGAGAAGAAAGCTCGAGGAAGGGGAGTCATCTACATCGGTCATATCCCCCATGGATTTTACAAGGAACAACAGTACCAGGTTCTCCCCCTCTTCCATAATCTAACATTGTCTTTACATCTCCTTTTCTTATTCCCATATATTTTTTCCTGCCTGTGTCTCCTTGCACGTTTCCCTTCTTCGATCCTTCCAGCTTCAGACCCTTTCTCCTCACTCTCCTGTCTCGACCCTTTTGCTTTTCATCTGTCCCTTGTTCCCATGTTGCCTGATTGCACTTTTGCATCTGATTCTTCACTCTGGCAGTTTTTCTCTCAGTACGGCAAAGTGACCAGGCTAAGACTTGCTCGAAGTCTGTGCTGCAGTGCTCTTGAAATCTGTTTACATTCTTTCTTCTTTCCCCTACAGATAGGAAGACAGGAGCGTATAAGGGATATGGTTGGGTAGAGTTTGATGACGCAGCTGTGGCACATGAGGTGATGAATCCACTTCTCCTCCTTCCCGCCTACAACCAATCTTCCTCCTCCTCCTCCTCCTCCTCCTCCTCCTCCTCCTCCTCCTCCTCCTCCTTTGCCTCTCATCATCATGATGATCATCATCGCTGTCTTTCCCTTTCTTGTTTTTTTTTGGTTGCCATCATGATCAATCTCGTCCTTGTCCTCTTCCTCGACCTGTCCTTCTCCATACCCTCCTTGTTCTCCTCCTCCTCTCCCTCCTTATGTGTATGCTTATCATGCTCCTGCACGTCTCTGCCTCTGGTCTTCCTTCGTCTTCCTCCTTCCCAACCTTCCTGGCCTTGCACGCCATCAAGAATTTGACCGCAGATGGCGGAGAAGTTCAACAAATATAACGTGCATGGCAAGAGTCTACAGTGAGGAGACTGGTCAACACTCTTCAACCCTCTTATCACCTGCTCCTTGCAGCATCCACGTCGTTCCAAACGATCAAGTCCACCCCGAACTCTTCCGGAATTGCGAGCGCGACTTTGTCAAGGTGAGGAAGGGACTGATATACTTCCTTTCGGCAAGGGACAGAGTTGAAGAGTGGTTGTTCCGAACCTCTTGCTCTCAGCAGCACCTTCGCTCTCTTCTCCATCGCTGCTGCTCCTCGGCCATGGTCAACTGACGGTGTACTGCAGGTCAACACTCCCCAAAGGATCCGGCAGAGAGAAAGCCGGTAAGCTCGCGCCTGCTGTTTCAGACCTCCTCCTCATCCGTGGGTTCAGGTCGAAGACTCTGATCCAGAAGATCAAGGCTCTCAAGCGGCAGCTGCAGAAAGCGGTTCGAAGTCCTCTCTTTCTCTCGCTATTACTTCCCATCCTTCTCCAATGTGGCTATCTACTCTTGTCCCGTACTGCCGTGTCCTGTGCCTTCCCGTCCTGTCCTGTCCTCCTCTCTCCTCGCTTCCTCTCCTCGTCTCCTCACCTCTCTAATGCTCTTACTGAGCAGGCGCTTGCACAACGGCAGTTACTTCGCCGCATTTCCAAGAAAAGTGCGGACAACATTCTGGTGGGCCCCCGCTCCTCAAGGCTACTTGCTGATATGCAGCAGTTCAAGTCACAGAAGGAGGAGGGTGAGGCGTTTATCTCGGACATTAAGCAGCAAATCCTCGACCTTAGCAGGCGGCGTTCCAAACTTCGGGTTCCTCCTCCTCCCTCTCCGTCGCACGACCTCACCCCCCCGCAGGTCAAACATGGCCTCGAGGACGGGCTCGTCACCCTCGGCCGCATGTTTCGCATCTACGGCAGGGAGATCAGATCGACTTGAAGGTCGTCCGAGTGACTTGAAGCCTGAGCCGGGCCCTTCTTCCTTTGGGTCCTTAGGATGGCTGTAACAAGTTTTGTTTCAAAGTCCCGGCGATATCAAGAGCCCGACCGTGGCACTCAGTGGGCCCGGTGTGGGTGCCCCCGAGCAAGTTTGCTGGCCCGGCTTCATCCCGCCCGGCCCGGGCCCAAGTTTGCCGGCCGGGCTTCATTCGATAGTCACAGGCCGCTTGAGGACTGAGAAGTTCAACGGAATTTGCCTCAGACGGTAAAAGTCATAGTACGTGACGAGTCCGACTGTTCTCTGAAGTGGTGGGGGTCAATACCCATACCCCCTAAATTCATTGATTTGAGTGTATTTTAGACTGGTGGGTACGGTAATTGACGGTTCCAGTCGGTTGGTGGGGTACAGCAGATCATGTGATCACCTTGCTAGCTAGAGACACCGGGGCCATTGTTTACTCCAGAGGGTGGGGGTTACAGCGAACCCACCGCATATCATCATTTTCCTTCTAAACTAATGGGTAGGGTGAATTTCAAAGGGGGTAGGGGTGGTAGAATCTCTGCCTCCACATCTGCTCATTTTTCCTGAGGCCAATCCGACCAATTTCCTGCTGCCTTCGGTCCTCGAGTAACCCTCCACCCCCACCCCCCATTTCCTCCACAAATCACCCCACCCATTAGACTCAAGTACCCCTCTCCTCCCTTCAGATTTATGCCTCTCAGGCATTTCATGGGTAGGGTCATACACCCTACCCCAGATATCTATGCTTTTTCTGTATTCACTACCCTTTCAGTTGGGACGCAGCCACCCCTGCGTTCACTGACACCACCCTCACCCACCACCACGAGCACCCCCTAGTTCCTGCAAAAGCCGATGCCTCCCTCTCCCGCCATGGTGCCAGGGAAGGCCATGAGGTCGAAGCGAAGGCGGAGGAGATGGAGTTGGAACTTGAGGAGTGTTGACGGGAAGAAGAGTATGAGATGAGAGAGGAAGCAGCAGGATGGGACTGAATTCTGAATAGTTTAGACGAGGAAGTGCAACGAGTGCGGCATATTGGTCTTTGCCAGTGTTTCGTTGCACAGCAAGAAGGTGAGAAATATTTTGAAAATACAAGAGTTTACGTATCGGAAGAAGTGATAAAGATTCTGATAGTGATCAATTACCCTCTGTCAGCAGAGAGTTGGTGTTTGGAAGACAGAATACGGAGAGCATGTTGGAGTATGCAGCTGAGAAGAGCGATGCCATCAGTGATTTTTGCAAAGTGATTGTGAGGAGCTGATCAAGATTTAAAGCTGCATCTTCTCCTCGATGCAGTTGCTTTGAATAGCAATGGTTAAAGGATGTGATGATCTTTGCAGGATGCCGGTGGTGTCAAGTTAGGAAGAGGGTTTCGCCAGGGTGGATGTGCATGAAGTTCTGAGGGGATTCACTCCGTTGGGGGCTCCGGAATATGCTTCAGTGAGCTCTTCGACGGAAGTTGCGCTTAGACATCGGAAATGTCCGCCTCCGAGACCATCAGGACTACATCGACTGAGACAGTAAGGACAACTTCGAGTGAGGCAGTAAGGACAACTTCGAGTGAGGGTGTATCACATGGGAAGCGGCACGACGTGCCATTCGTCAAGGCCAATGGAGTAGATTTGAGCATGTTCGATCTTGAGAAGTAATCTTGTGCGCTGTTCTGAGTATCTAGACTGACTCTTGTTTTGTTTTCCTCGAAATCAAGTCTGAGCGAAGGGTTGTGGTGTATGTCATGTGAGGGGCCCTTGAAGTTGTTCTCTCTCGAGATCGGACTCAGGAAGCAACTTCGTGAACAGGTTGCAGACGCGGGTGGCAAAGTATGTTACTTGAACTGCTGGATGCTCCATTGAGCTGTGATACTGACAAGGTTTGCCATGCAGGTCAGAGCTGAAGTTCGAAAGCGAACTTTCAGCTTGGATGGGCTTGAAGCAGGTAGGACGTGCGTGTAGATTCCATGTGGAGCGTTAAGAAGTGCCCGATGCGCAGTATTGGAGAGTTTCTATCTAGAGTCGGGGAACAACTACAGGTGCACGTGGATCGGTTTGGAGGTGAGAATCTGCAAGGGGTTTATCGTTCCTCTTTACGTTGGCGCCTCAGGAGAACCCTCTCCATCTCGACCAGGGGCTGGAGGTTTCTTTCGTGAAGGTATGCGTGGTTTACCTTATGCATCGTTTACCTTCTCAGCAAGAAAGCTGATGAATGCCTTTGTTACATTAGGAGAGCTGCGAGGACAGTGAGGCCCTGTTTCCGGAAACCCACGGGAAGTTCTTAAGTTCCTTCAATAGTACGAATGGTGAGACAAAGGCGGAAACGAACCAGGTCAAAGGAGCTCTTGAGACGATCGAGGAGTCAAAGACGGAGAATGGCGATAGTAGTGAGCATGCTGCGAACAACGACAATGGGCAGAACGAGGCCTCTAGAGCTCCTAAGAGGCCACGAATAGCCACTGAGGTTCCGATCTTTGCTAAAGATGAACCGACGGAGAAATCTACCGAGGGATCCAAGGACGAAGAATTGGATGCATTGGGCAAGGGCAAGGGAAAGGGCTTGATCTCAGTGCACGTGCCACCGTACAATCCTTTCTCCCGCCCACAGTCAGGAGGAGGAACTCCTCTGCACTCTCCTAGCCTGAGGCCCTGTCTCTCTCCCCTGGGGGTCCGGACTACTTCTTGGAAGCTTGCTTCGCACACAGTCATGTTGAACAGATATCAAGGGACCGTTGAGGACTTCGAGCTCTTGTGGAGGAAGGACTCATCCTCCCTACCACTCCATGATGAACTGATGAGCGGCATCTCAAGTGCTCCCCACACTCCTCGCTCCTTCTTGCCGGACACGCCGTCGGGCAACAGCAATGCGGGGTGGAACTCTCCTTTAGAATCCCCTCGTTCTACTCGCTCAGAGTCGCCGACAGCCAACGGGGAGAAGTTCGGCCGTTCGATGTCCAGCGTGTATGTGCGCCGGGCAGAAATGCTATCTTTCGATCTGGACTCTGCGCCGAATCAGCTGGTGGAGGCCCTGCGGTTCTTCGAGATGCCGATACCCGACAAGAACAAGCGAGCGTTCGAGTGGGGGAAACAGCCGGTGGAGCAAATGCACGCCCTTGCTCGCTACATAGAGACCGTGGCCAAGGACGTGAGGAAGCTTTGCCTCGCGGAGCCGCGCTGTGTGCACGTGAAGGCCCCCTGCTACATCCTAGGAGACATCCATGGAAACTTCGCTGACCTAGTGGCGTTTGAGAAGGCTCTGTGGAGGATCGGCCCGAACCTCTCGCCCGCAAACTTCCTTATGCTGGGAGATTATGTAGACCGTGGCGCCCACTCGGTGGAGGTCGTGGCCTACTTGTTTGCTCAGAAGCTGATGTGTCCGAGCAAGTTCAAGCTCTTGAGAGGAAACCACGAGACCAGGATACAGAACAGCCACTCGGGGTACAACCCTTGCTTCCGGGACTCGTGTGAGAAGCACTTTGGGAAGGAGGTCGGGGACTCAGTGTGGGAGTCGGTGAACTTGGTCTTCGATGCTCTCCCGCTGGCCGCCGTCGTCGACCACAACATCTTCTGTGTACATGGAGGCATCCCGAGTCCCAGCGTCTTAAGGAAGCATGGAGAGTACGGGTCTGCTTCTCTCATCGCCGAGATCAACAAGATTCCTCGCGATCTGCCCCAGCCCGATCCCTCGGTGGGAGGGGACCCGCTGGCATGGGATCTGATGTGGAATGATCCAGCTCCCTCCAACTTTCACACGGTGAGTCGCTAAAGCTTCCCGCCCGCCCTTGCTTGCTCATTTCATCTCCAGCCCCAAGACAACTCGTGGACCGAAGGCTTCGGCCCTAACGTTTCTCGCGGCACGGCTCACATGTTCACTGCGGAGGCTCTAGAGCAGGTAGAGTCCATCTTCCCTGTCCAGCTCTCCCCCTCCAAGGGCCGCCATACGGCTCTGCAGCAAAATCATGTTGCTGATCCCACAGTGCAGTTCCTCCGCAGGTACAACTTCAGCCACCTTGTACGAGCACACGAGGTCCGCAAGACCGGGTTTCAGGTATCTCCTTGGGGCGTCTGCTGGGGTGGTTGACCTGTAGCAGGTTCAGCAGCACGCGAAGATGGTAACGCTCTTCAGCTCCAGTGGCTACTGCGGGTCGAACAACGAGGCCTGCTGTATTCTCGCTTGCGAGGTGCCTCCCCGAACCCCCCCCCCCCCGCGCACTCTTCCTGACCCCTTCCGTCAGGGCAAGATCAGGTTCATTCGGCTAGAGCATACCCGGATCCAGCGGCCACTTCAAAGTTCGTCGCTGGCTACTCGAGCTGCAGGTCCAAACTCGCCCTCCCGTTCCCCTTCTGCCTTTATCGTCCTCTTCCTCCTCTTCCTCCGCTTCCCCCTCCATTCTTTGTCTCATCCACCACTTTTACTGTCCCTTGACTTCCTCCTCTGCCTCCCTGCCTCCCTGCCTCCCTGCTCCCTGCTCCCTCTATTCGCCACGCTGAACTGTTTTGTCCAGCTGCTTGCAGTGCCCTCGTCCATTCCGTCAACGAAACAACTCAGACGGAGAAGCCGCTGCCGCCGCAAACATCTCAGGGCTCAGACTCGGCGAAACCCAAGGCAAGTTGAACATGCTGCGACTTTGGTTGGCCGCTGAGCGTCTGCAGGACGGCGACTCCGATGATGATGATGACGACGACGACGATGCGGACGACTGAGAGTCTGGGAGTGAAAAGGCGGCCGGTACCGGGCGGGCCCAGCCTTCGAGTCGGGTCCGGCTGCCGCTGCTTTGAAAGGCGACAGGGAACACACAGCCTCAACACTGATATCACTTGAAGCATTGAATGGCTGGATCATATGATTTTGTTCAGAAGTTCACAGTAAAGCTACTGTCCGGCTGGGACATCAATCACTGGTCACCGTGTCAGTTCACACTGAGCCGGGCGGCCCGGCCCGGGCTGCCGCATCACCGACCGGTGACTGTGAGGGATGTGACTTCCGAAGTTGCCGGGCGACTGTCAGCAGTATGACCCCTACCCCCTTGGAAATATGGCTCCTTCTTCACTACCGGGTACATTCTCTATCATTTCATGGATCTGAGGGAGGTAGGGGTTACCAGACCCTCCGGCAAGAGTGATGGTGGTAGGGTACTTGGTCGGAATGAAAGTCGTTCTCATGACCGGGTGGTTCTACTGTCAAGGGGAGGGTAATCAGGGGTAGGGTACGATAGTGGGGAAAAGCCGCATTTCGTGATGTAGGGGGTGATAAGTACTCATATGGGGGGTAGGGGGTGGTATCGGTACGTCCGTCCCCTATCGGCTGCATTTCCTCAAAACCGAGGAGTGAAGCTTTTTAGGGTGGTGCGGCCTTGAAGGGGGTGGGGTTAGTCAAATGGGGGTAGGGGTCATCATATTTCTCTGTCTTCGTCTCTGCTCAGATCTTTGTACAGTGGGTGAGGGTGGACAACATGGGGGTAGGGGGTACCAAAATGGTCCGAACCTAGTTTTCTGATAATTTGACCTGATGAAGAATGGAAGTCAAAAATGCCAGACGATAAGATCGGACGCACGAATGGGAGAGGCTTAGCAAGACGAGAATGGCACAGAGGAGGAGATAGAGAGGAGGAGGAGGAGGAGGAGGATGTGATAGAGAGGAGGAGGAGGAGGAGGAGGAGGAGGAGGAGGAGGAGGA